AGGGCCAGGGCACCCTGCTGCTCCCACTCAGGAATGACTCCTCCTGGAGCCTCAGAGGAAAGATGTTGAGTGGGGAAGCCCTGGGCACCTCTCCTGGCCTCCTGGCCACATGCAGGTGCTCTCACCTGCCCTGTCCCAGAAGGCCCAAGGTGGAAGGAGCCCCCGATGGCCTCCGCCCCTCAAGAGAAGGGCTCCCTGTGTCTAACTTCGTCCTCCGGTGTTCATTCCAGGCTGCTCCCATCTCAAGGACACACCTAGGCACCAGCCTCTGTCTGCCTGGTCTGCCCAGCTCAATACACCCTGGGGCTGCTTCACCAGTGACCCACTATGGGGCTTCTGCAGCACAGGGCACTGTGGTGTTGAGGGTCCGGGACCTGGGGGTCAGGGCCTGGAGGGGGTGTCTGAGCTTGGAGAGGAGTCAGCCTGCTGAAGGAGGGGCATGTGGGGAGATGGGGCAATGGCCTGAGGGGTGTGGAGGGTCATGAGAGGCCCATAGGAGCCTTGCTGGTGCCAGCAGGGCCTGCATAAGTTGGGGTCTGAGTCTGAGTCTGGGTATGGGGTCACCTCTGGGGCTCAGGCTCCCCACCGGCACTGGGGGCACCAGGGCACAGGCTGGCCCGCTGGTCCCCACCCCTCCCCAGCCCACAGCTCAGCTGTTGCAGTGGGAGCCCTCTGACCCTGTTACCATGGCAGCCAGCCTGCAGCTGGAGCCGAGAAACAGACAGACTCTTCTCCAGAGACACCCCCATCCCCACCCACGCACGGGCTCCTGGGGACACAGGGACATGGAGACGGGACCAGTACAGGCAGAGGGTATGAGGAGCCAGACAGAGCCCAGAGGGAGGAAGGCTCAGGGGGCTGGTGGGAAGAAGAGAGACAGATGCAGGGAGGAGATAGGGACCAAGGGGACCGAGTGTCAGCAGGGAGAGAGCCCTAGGGAGAAGGAAAATGCAAAAACCCCGGGCACAGGCGGGCAGGCTGCAGGGGGCGGGGCGCACGGAGCCGGTGGAAACAAAGAGCAGAGAGACCTACTGCAAGGGACAGAGAGCAGGAGACCACCAGGCCTGGCAGAGGAGGGGAGCAAGTGAGGAGGAGCTCAAAGGGACCCCAGCCACCCCTACAGCGATGCAGCAGACAAATGCCAGCAGCACCTGCCGCCCAGGCGCGGCCCCAGGGCCCTGCAGCCATGCCACCGCCTGCCAGCCCCGCACTGCCCAGCTCTGCTCCCAGTGCCACCTTACTCCTGGGCCTGATGTTAAGGGGCATGGACACCGGGCCAGCAGGCCCCAGGCACCTCACATCTCTCCCTCTAGCCCACAACCCCACACCCCACCCCCAGTCCAACCTCCCTGCCTCCCAGCAATCCCAGCAACTAAATAACGGAGCTGTCTGGCTCCAGGCCCTGATACTGCACAGAGCTAGGCCAGAGGCACAGACACAGCACAGCTGTCCACACTGGCGCCTGCCAGCAAAAGGCCCCGCCTCCCGCCCAGACACCCACCTCCCCGGGGCTGAAGCCCGGGAACCCACTCCCCAGAGGCTGGCCCAGGCAGAGACCCTGAGAAAGGCCTGGACAGAAACCAGAGGTGGCCCTGCCTGGCATTGTACCCCTCTGCCTCCCTGCTCTGCCCAGGCGAAGAGGTGTGAGCTAGTACACACACGCACATAGCCCAAGTTGGGCCACAGGGAGCCTCCCAAGGGACGGGTGTCTCCTGGCAGAGGGAGGGGAGGTGGAGGAAATGTGTCTGCCTCCTTGGCCTCCAGTGCGAGGACAAGTGGAGACCCACATGACCTGAGGGCCCAGGCCAGCCTGTTGGCCAACAAGAGATACCTGATCCCAAGGAAACTCAGTGAGAGCAGAGAAGGGGGCAGCCAGAGATGGCTGGCACAGGATTTTCTGGGTCACAGCCCCATTTGGAGTAGTAACCTGAAGGAGGCAAAGAGATTGACCCTGGGCAAGGGGCCTGGGTTCCAGTCCTACTCCCTCCATTGATTCACTGGTAACTGGACCTCTGCTTCTCAGTTTCCCCATCTGTAACTCAAGTGGGCTGGATTAACTGATCCTCAAGGTCACCAAGATTCCATAGTAGCTCTGCAGAAGGGGTCCCTTGGCCGTCCCACAGGAGCCAGCCTGGGAAAGGAGGGAAGGCCAGCTCTCCGCACACTATAGTGCACACTACAGCGCAGGAAAAGCACTCAGGCCCCTGGTGCCAAGGGGTTCCAAGCAGGCATATTATCCCAGAAGTAGAAACAGGCTCAAGGCAGTAACCAACTTGGCCCATATTAATCATTTCTGGTGTTAGACATGAACCCAGGACTTAATGTATTCACATTCTGTTCATTACCCCAATGGTTTGTGACTTTCAGAATAAAATCGTACATAAAGTAACACACATCTATAGGTGCCCCTGTGACTAGTTGGGTCATTTTTTTTTTTAATCCTCACTGAAAGATATTGTTCCCATTTATTTTAGAGAGGGTGGAAGGAAGGAGGGGAGAGAGAGAGATGGAGAGACATCGATGTGAGAGAGACACATCAATCGGTGGCCACCCACATGCACCCCGACCGGGACCCGGGATGGAACCTGCAACCCAGATATGTGGCCTTGACCAGGAATCGAACCCAAGACCCTTCAGTGCTTGGGCTGACACCTCTAACCACTGAGCCACACCAGCCAGGGCAAGTTGGTGTCATTTTTAATATATGACAGCAAAGCAGAGTGGGAAGGGCTCTGATCAGACAGACACGGTTCCATTCCCAGCTCTGCCCCTTAACTAGCTGTGTGATTTGGAAAATTTTCTTAATTTCTCTGAACTTGTCTCCTCACCCATAAATGGAGAAAAAATGATATCTACCTCCCAGGGTTGTTGTGAAGATTCCATGAGATAATGCAAGTGAAACATTTAGCAGCACAGTGTCCAGCACATAGAAGCCACCCACCAATGTTAGCTAGTACTAGATGGCCAGGCAGATATAAAAGCAAACCGGCTCCGATTAAGGTTTCGGGAGACATCAGTGAACAAGCAGAGGGGAGGCCCTGCCTTCAGAGTTTCCATCTAATCTTGCAGCCCCTGCCTCCTAGCCAGAACCCCCACGTGCTGTGAGCAAATCTTCCATGGGGCCCCAGCGACACCGTCCCCTCTAATGCTGTGCAGCAGTGTCACAGGCTGGGCACCCCTGCAAAAGCAGGGCCACGGGGCTTGGGGCGAGGGGGTTGGAATACAAGCCTTTACAAGGCAGCCTCAGCCAACCCTGAGCCTACAGGGGAGGTTCCAAGAGGCAGGGCCAGGGGTGTGGGGCTGCTGGCTCACTTTATGTACCCTGGGGCGAGGGGAGGGCAGAGCATGCTGTCCACAACAGGAAAGCTCCCTGTGGGCAGGAACCTCACGCGTTGTTCACTGCTCTATCTGCAAGGCCTTGGGTACAGTAAATGTCCTTGGATACACACTGGTGAGCAGCAAGGTTTGGGAACCCATGGGCAGTCCAGCAGCACCTTCTGGAGCCACCTCCCAAGCCCTGTGTAGACACACACACCCCCAAAGCCCTGCTGCGTGCTGAACTCCCAGAGCAAAGCCCACCCCAGGATGGACACATGTGGGAACAGCCCCGCCCAGAGCTCTGTTTATCCGATCCCCGGAAGCCCAGAGCAGCTGGGCTAGAAGGCGGTGGCTGAGCGGAGACACCTGGCTGCAGGAAGGGGTGGAGGGCGGGGCCCTCCACAGATGAGACAAAGGGAACTGAGGTTGGGGAGAGGCCCACACCTCATGCCAGGTGCAGCTGAAGTGCAGAAGAGAAAGGGGGCAGGAGAAGGGCAGCAGAGAGCGAGCCAGAGGCCCGCAGCCCTCCCCACCTTGGCCCTCGGTGACTCCTCCCCAGACGAGTCAGCCATATGGCGGGGGGCTGCTCGGGTACCTAGGGGCCTGTGCCCGGAGGTGAGCGCCCAGCCGCCAGCCTGATCTATTCCTTCTGTCCAGGCAAGCACCTGCCACCCGGGCCCCGTCACACTCCAGCCCACCTAGTTTCACCTACCCACATCTGCCCAGGGAGCAAGGACCCAGAGGGGCCAGGCCCATGGCCAAGCAGCCCCTGGGCTACCCACAAAAACCATCCCACCGGAGTGAGGCGAAGAGACTCAGACGGCCCTGCGGCCCCAGTGCCCAGCCCTCGTCTCCCACCTGGCCCATCGCTATGGCCCCAGCGAGGGCCACGCCGCTCCGGAACCCGCCCAGGCTTGGGCCATTCTCCAGCCGCCCCATCCCACTGTCCTTCCTCTCCTGGTACCCTCTCGGCCC